GATATGAGAGTAACCCGGGGCCAGAATCTATTTGTGATGAAAGCCAGTATGACAATCAGGAAAGATGTGAAGAGAATTCTTTTTGGTGCAAAGTAATTGGAAGAGGGATTATTTTTGAGTGAAGGCTTTGACATGAATTTATGTCAGGTACGAAGGTAGATACGAGTATAGATATGTAATAAAAGGAAATCTGGAGCGAATCGAGGGGTATTTCAATCTCTTTGTTGTCGTCCCAATTTTCTTGGTGGGGTTTTTCCCAATACTATGGACTGGTGGACGAGGGTACGTACGGGTACCAGGTATGTACTACCTAGTATGTACTACGCAAGCAAGCAAGGTCGAGGCAAGGCAAGCAATCGAGCAGAAAGTGTGAAGCTACTGCGGGCGGCACGGGCCTTGGCTGTTCCTATCATAACCCATACCGTACACTTGATTCATTATTGCAGGGGGGATTTGCTTCACGGCTCATCTAGTCATTTATTACTTTTTGTACAAAGTACTTACTACGAGTACTTACTACGAGTACCTAGTACCACGTAAACAGCAACCAAATAACCGCCCGCCGTAAATAAATAAAAGGGAACCCTCCAGCTTCACATTATCATTCATCACATTCCTCATCAACTTCATTCTGATATTACGGCACCACGAGAGTGTCACTCAGTGTCACTATCTCAGCCGCGAAAATGAATACAACCAAAAGAAAATTCAACGCCCTCCTGAATGGCTTGGGAAGCAAAAAGTCGGATTCCTCCTTATCAGCACACGAAGTAAACAAACCTCCCGAGAAACCTCAAAATGAGACCGATTCCAATATGAAGAAGCCACGAATTTCATATTCCTCTTCCAACGCGACTCGATTGTCTTCTTTAACTCGCGCATCATCTGCGGCCCCATCCGAATTTGATAGCGCCCGTCAGAGATTGGCACCCGTCCATAAACTCTCTGCCACTCCCGTCTCGCCTGCAGAGCCTCCCAAATGGACCCCGTATGATCGCGGGGAATTTCTCAAAAGATTAAAGTCGTTCTCGAATCTAACGGATTGGACGCCAAAACCAGCAAAGGTTAATGAAGTGGAATGGGCAAAGAGAGGATGGGTTTGTCAGAAGAAGGAGAGAGTGCGATGCTGTTTCTGCAATGTAGAGATCCTGGTTAAGCTCAACAAGAAAGAAGAAGACGGGAAAGAAAAGGAAGTTTATATCGCGGAAAACATTGGTAGGGGATTTCTTTCCATCGCAGATTCTCGGTGATTTAGCGCTAACTAACTCAGTAGAAAATGCGTTGGTCGATAAATATGTTGAACTTATTGTCGCGTCTCATGATGAGAGTTGTCCATGGAGACAGAGAGGATGCGATGGTACGTTAAAAATTCCCCTTTCACGCGCTCAGTCCTAATTCTGTCCTAGATGTTATATTCAAGCTACCCCTCAACAAACCTGCAGTTACCATCCAAACCCTTCGCGAACGTTACGATGAACTCCAACAAAGAATCGATCACCTACCATACCTCTCTAATATGTCACCTCCTGAAGGCCTTGATATCGATCGCGTTACAAGTTATCTTCCCCAAGAATTTCTTCAATCATCTCCTGCATCAGGGCAAATAAACTCTCCGGACAATATCAATAAAGTGGCTTTGATGATGTCTCTTTGTGGTTGGCAAGGTCACAAGCATGATCGTCTTGGCCAACAACTCGAATCCGTCTCATGTCAAACATGTTACCGAATACTTGGTCTCTGGATGTTCAAAAGCAGATCAATTTCTGCTACAGGTGTAGAAACCGAGCCAGCTATCGTTCCTGGTCTCGATCCTATCGCCCAACATCGCGAATACTGTCCTTGGCGCAATCCGGCATCACAAAATGGACTTGCCGCTACGCAGAATCAAAAACTAAGAGCGCTTGCGGGATGGGAAGTTGTGCTACGGGTATTGAAGAGTGAGCATGGATTGAGAGTTGGTAGAGAAAAGAATGAAAAGGGTTCAAGGAAAAGTTACATTGGACCTGCAACGACCGAGAGTATCGATGAGAATGGTAATGATTTGGCACCTGATTTCGCAGATGAAGAGGATGCGAAGAGTATCAGGGATGCAAAGGACAAGGATTTAATGACGAGATTGAGAAGGGTCAAGACATTTATTGCATTGAAGAAGCGACCCAGTGGAGACGTCAAAACCAAGAGGTTTAGTGCTACTTGATCGCAGGCATAGGAGGTATCTTGCTGAAGGCAGAAGGTGGAGAAGTAAATTAATGATGTACGATCACGAGTAGGAGAGCTTATGGGTATTGTTTTCATTGCGTTGGCGTTGGAGTGGAGTTTATTTCCTTCATACTTGCATCTAGCTCAGGTCAACAGGTGTAAGGGGGTTCTGGTATGGCTGCACACGCTCGTTTATTGAAAGATTGAGAGACAATCATCCTCTGTCGGAAAGTGCAGCGATCTGGTGTTTTTTTTTCATTATTGGATTTTGGGCGGGAGGATTGTAATATATCGGAATCTTTGCTGTAACATTGAGATAGGGTATTTGGGATACGTGCAGTATAAGTATAATACAACATTTGCAAGATTGGGCGTCGGGTTGCCTCCTCTCAATGTGATGTGAGATTATAATGTTCCTGCTCTGTATTGTATTCTGAGCTTGATAGACATTGATACTCTCCCCTCTGCTTTCGCAATGTGTCTCGCCTCGGGGCCTCGTTAATATTTGTGTACCCCTATCCCCCCCGCGGATGAAAAAAATTAAAGTCGTCTATGTAAGTAAGATCTTATCGAATCGAATCCGCGTGTATTAAGTTCAAGGAACTTGATTTCTGTTGATCTTGATCTTGATCTTGATATACCTTATATTTATTCTTTGATTGCTTGGTGGTGGTATTAGAATTTCTCTTTTTATTGTTTGGTTTATAATATGATGAATAAATGAATAATATAATGAATAAATAAATAAATAATTAATTAATTAAATAAATCGTTGCGATAATTCCTGAGATATGAATACTATTATATTAGTATTAACTTAATTAATAAGTATAAGTATCTCAGTCTACTATAATTATATTCGTTCTTAATTATTATTATCTATAAGAAGCTAGTACTTATACTTATACTTAATATAGGGAAGCGCTAGTCGCAAGCTAGCTAATATAGTATAGTATCCTCTTTGATTATGTAATTAATATTTCGATAGATACGTATAAATCGTAATATCAAAAAATATTTCGAGATCTAGTTTTGTAGGGTTGATTTATTAGTTTATATAGTCGATGTACTAATAAAGTCTACTAATAGCTTATTTATAAACAAAAGCACCTTAATATTCGAGAAGTACTATAGAGAGATTTTATTATACGGAAAGTTTTTCGATTGTATATTTTTCGGAAATGAAATAAAATATACTATATCTAGGTATTACGTGAAAAATCTTGAGTATCCTAGATAGTATTAGGGTTTTCTAAAGTATTAACTCGAGTTCTCTTTATAGTTTATATGTATAGAGTAGAATAGAAAGAAGTATTAAGAACTTTGAAAATAATATTATAAGTAACTTAAAAATGTTTACGTATATTTAGTATTAGAGATTTAAAGTTATAAAATAAATAACTATAAATATAAGATATATTAAATATTTTATTATGTTTTTTTTAATTAGAAAATTTTTATTAAAAACTTTTGTATATATACTATTATATTCTACTTATCGGGAAAAGAAAAATTTAAAAAGCGATTTATAAATAATTTATAATTAAAAAAAGAATATTAATTTATAAATTTAAATATTTATTGAAAAGATAGAGATTTATATTATATTATATAGAGATGTAAAGAATATATTATTATAAACGTTATAAAAAAATAATTAGAATTCTTGAAATCCTAAGAACTTGATTAGTTAGTAAAATCCCTATATAAGCGAGGAGTCTCGAGTTGATACTTTATGAGATATTAATTAGACTCCTTCTCCGGAATAGAACCCCAATTCCCCACTTACCCGTTGAAACCATGATAGGCCACTATCCTACCATCGAAAGTTGATAGGGCAGAAATTTGAATGAACCATCGCCGGCACAAGGCCATGCGATTCGTTAAGTTATTATGAATCACCAGGGAGTCCCGAAGGGCATTGGTTTCTTATCTAATGAATACACCCCTTCCGAAGTCGAGGTTTTGAGCATGCATGTATTAGCTCTAGACTTACCACGGGTCAGAAAGTATACAGTTCCGGTGTTAAATCCGCTGTATCGGTCTTAAGGGGCCAATAGAATCCATTGCTTCTTTTGATTCCATTATATTAAATGGGGATTCAGAACAAATCATCAATTGAATGGTTCGTTTATGTTGAAGTCTCATTGCTTTCAGTATAAATGTCAATGATCTACATCTCTTTAAAGTTTTAGAGAGTTTCCCCGCAACAGCTTAATCTTATCAAGAGTCAAGAGAGGAGTTGCATACTTTCTGATCGTACGAGTATCGAGAAGCGATTTGCCGTTTGTCGATTGTGAATATGGAGATATCGGTATTTAGCCGCCGATTTTGCTGTTGCGGGGATTAGAAGATCCCGTCGCGGACTTGTCTTGTGGTGTAGGATTGTTGTATATATCATATCATTCATACTAGATATTGGAGTTCTTCACTTACATTCATTTCACATATCATTATCAACTTTACAAATACTTCAATCTCGTCTTACAAATTGATTTATCAGATTCTGGAATAGGTCTATGATATCACTATTTATACAGGTGTAACACGGCTTATTATATTTTATATTTTGATACCACGTCGTTGAGAGTTTGCAATTGAGCATATATTCAAGTACTTAGAGACGTTTATATATCTATCCTTGTTATAGACTTCGAATAGCACTTAAGGACTACTGGGTACGCTCAGCACATCGCTTTACGGTCCAGTCAGTCACGTGTCAGTATACTCAACTCTGAGATTCCTCTGGACCAGTCCCACTCACAGTCCCGCACTACCCACTTATAAACAGCTCTCCGAAAATGTCCACCAAACCCACAACCTTGACCCGAAAACCCCACATCCTTATTTCGGGCGCCAGCATCGCCGGTCCAGTCCTCGCCTATTGGCTCAACCGCGCCTCAATAACCGCCACTATTGTCGAACGATCTCCCTCTCTTCGTTCCGCCGGTCAAGGAGTTGATATTCGAGGTCCCGCTCGTACAGTCATATCACGTATGGGTCTCGAATCTACAATTCGCTCCAAAGTAACCCATGAATTTGGTCTTCAATTTGTTGACAAGAATGGTGTCTCCAAAGCTACTTTCCCAATGGAGGAAAATGGAAATTCCTTCACGAGTGATATTGAGATCATTCGGGGAGATTTATCCGAGATTTTCTATAACAGTACAAAGGAGACGTGTCAGTATATTTGGGATGATTACATTACGAAACTTGAAGAGGTGAATGAGGGAGTCCTTGTTACTTTTGCAAGAGGCAAACAGAGAATTTTTGATTTGGTTGTGGGAGCAGATGGATTGCGTTCGAAAACTAGACGACTTGTTATTCCTCTTCCAAACGATGGTCTGAAATCGTTGTATCAATACGCGTCATATTTCGCCATCCCCAAACAACCTCAGGATGATGAATGGGGTAAGTGGTATAATGCTTCTCGTGGACGTTTGATATTACTGCGTCCGGATAATATATATGAGAGTACTACTACACGAGTATTCCTCAGTATTACCGATCCCAACAAAACATGCAAGTTAGTGAAACATCTCGAAATGACCACCGAAGAACAAAAACGCGCGTGGAGAGAAGAAATGTCTGACATGGGGTGGGAGATTGAGAGAGTTTTGGATGGAATGGATAAAGCACCAGATTATTATATGCAAGAAATCGCCCAAATAAATCCTCCTCAATTTTACAAAGGGAAATTTGCACTCGTGGGAGATGCAGGTTATTGTCCCTCACCTCTGTCGGGGATGGGCACCAGTTCGGCGATTCTAGGTGCGTATCATCTTGCAGGAGAATTAGGAGCTTGTAAGGGAAATTGGGAAGAAGGATTGCGGAAATATGAAGAGAAGATGAGACCGATTGTGGAAAGTGTACAGCAGCTTCCGCCAGGGGTTCCTGGGTTATTAAATCCACAAACGGAATGGGGAATTGCGGTTATGCATAGGGTTCTGGGTTTGATGTCTTGGAGGGGGTTGGCAGGGTGGTTGATGAGCTTCCTTCCACATGGAGATGAAAGTTTGACTCAGTATGAGTGGAGTGATGGTGAAGATAAAAGTTCTTAGGGATAGTTTAGTTTGTTTATGTTTGTTATATACACCAGCGGATATCATTTGGAAATGTTATATTATAGCGAAAACAAGAAATCTCTGCTTTTTATTTTATTTTTTCTATACACCTACTGGTTTTCAACTTCTTATTTCATTACATGCTTCAAATCATTACTAATACCTATCCCTCTATTTATTTTTTAATCTAGAGTATTATTAGCTCAAACGATATAAGCAAAACGATCCTCCTCTTAATTTTTAGTACACTATAGATATATTTAAATCAGATCCTAATCTCAATCTAAATCATATACTCAAACCAAGCCATATATTAATTAAGCTTAATCTATCTAGAATTAGTAAATTGTTCAAGTTTGCAAAATCTTAAAGTCTATAAACCTCTAATTACTCTCTTCTTTATTAAAGAATTTATTCCGGAAATATACTATTAGTATATGAACTTAGATGAATGACTTCAATTCAATGACTACTATATCAAGCTATAGACGAATGCGAAAGAGACTAGCTCTTTCAGTAGTGTCTATATAAAGGCCTACTACTTTCTATACATAGCTAGCTCTTTAGATGGAATATAATATAGACATTTAGAACCTACGAATACGTGAGTACTACGTCTTCCGTATCCTTCTCAAACCAATAATTAGAAATAAGTAGGAAATCATATAGTTAATAGTTGATAGTTAAAGAGATATAAATTCGCTTGTATAGAATATCTATATACTAGATGGCTCGTATACTTTTATATCAAAGTAGTATAGTAGCAAGTAGTCTTCAATAAATACCTACTAACTTAAACTTAAAGTTCAAATTTTAAGTAAGTAAGTAAGCGGACGGTTTTTCTTATGTTTTTGTATTAGGAGGTAGCTTCTTTTATTAGTACAGTAGAGAGTAGTATTGTTATCTCATAGGGAAGTATCTAGATAGTATATCGATGTTTGGAAATCTAAATGCAATAGATTTCTCGACATTTGATTATTATTATTAGTAGTGAGAATAGTTTAGATGGGTTGAGATGGGTTTGTATGAATATTGAACGAGAAGATAGATGTAGTAGGGGATGATAGAGTAGTGTATTTGCTGAATTGAGGTTGAAGTAAGGGAGAGGTAGAGAGATAGAGGTAATATATATAGATAATTTCAATAACGAACAAGAACAGTAGTCTGTTGTTGAGTATATATCTTAATAGGGATAATAATTAGAGTAATAGAATAAAGGAGATGGAAAATAATAGATAGTTAATAAAAATATCTTCGATGATATATTATATATTTGATTTCTATTTCAATTAGATGTACTACTTATTTATATTCAAACAGAAATCTATTCTTCTCAAGTCATAGTCCTATGCTCGATTTCAAACTCCTTCTAGTATTAATCTATAAATCTAATCCGCTGATATCTAGCTCTAATTACTCCAGTCTGAATTCCGTCGAAATACAATTCTCTTTTGTGATTTTCATCTCGCTTCGAAATCGAATAGTCCTAGATAGTATATCTAATAGTTCGAATTATAGATCAACAATCAAGATTCTTAAAGTATTCAACTCTGTTTTTATAATCAAATTGTCTTGAAGATTAAAATGTTTTTAGGAATTTAACAAATTTGAAATCATAAGCTTTTAAAATCGATAGTTGTTATTAGAATCTAAAGAGTAGATAGAGTATCTTTAAATAAACTATAATCTAAATAAATTATTAGAGGATCTAATCTTATATAGTATAGGCTATAGAGAAGCTATATTGTATATATATATATTCAATATAGATAATAAGCTCGTATCTTAAATAGTATATAGTTTTCGTAATGAGAATAGAATAGCTATTATAACTCTACTATATATAGTCATTACCTTGAGTATATATAATACGAATTATTTTAGAGCTCTTATATCAACTCTATAACGGTGTTAATTTATATGATTATTCTAATTAATATAAGTATTCTAATTCCTATCAAAATTTCAATTAATATTAGTCTCTTAATTTATATTATATATTCCTATTCGTACTGAGAGATGCTATACTTTATATATAAACTTTATATAGTTTAACTATAAGCCGAAGAACTAGTACTTGATATCACCGTAGATGATATTTCATTCTTTCGAGATAGTAATGAGTCTATACTTGAATTATTAAGACATTACTCATTCATGGAATATTATAGTAAACGCTGAATGATATCACTTACTCATAGAATATTATAGTAAACGCTGAATGAATAATACCTCTTCTTTAAGTTATAAGTATAAGATTAGATATAATGACCGGACCGGACTCTGAATACAAAGTAGTAAAAAAGTTCAAGATATAAATTGACTGAAACGATCAAATGACTATCTATACCTTCTTGAATGAATCTCTAAGACGCTCTGAGATGAACTAGACGCATGTTAAGCTTGACTTGAGTGAGGCGTTAATTTTTCTCGAGGGTAAAGGTTTGGCTGAAAAATTCGGGTGTTGTGTTTAGGTGCTTCGAAAGAAGATCAGAACTTTATTCCCGCAATTCGAAAGACGAGGGGGAGAATCCCTCAGGCTTTCATTGTGTTTAAGGGGGGGGGGGGGGGGGTCTCGTTTCCTTCTGGTTTTTAGAACGCTGAAAGCAGCAAAAGCATGAACCCCCTTTCAGCTCGCCTCTTTTTTGTCCCCAAACCCCATCGAATTGAATTATCAAAATCTTCAAGTGATTGTTTCTCAACCATTTCTCGATGGAATTCAATGATTTTAGAAGCAAAATAAATGCAAAAAAAGTATGAAGGCTGAGGGATTCGAACCCTCGCTCTTTCGAATTGCGGGAATGAGGTTTTGATCTTCTTTCGAAGCACCTAAACACAACGCCTTAACCACTCGGCCAAACCTCCTATGTTGGTGAAAGTTAAGATATAATTTAAATAATTAAACTAAGGTAACCATATGACAGAACTTTCCTACGCTTAATCTTGTTTCAAACTTTCTTTCTCTAGTCACTTGTAATAAGCAAATTATTAAAGCCGCCGCCGTTTGACATTTTGTATTCCATGATCCATGTACGAATCAGCTGTAAGCAAGGCGATATCTTATCAAATAGAAGTTTGATTTATCTAGGTAATATTCGATATTTTATGGATCCAGCTGGTCACCAGATTTTATGCATGGACATCGATCGGGATTTCGTCGGAACCGATTAAGCCTTTCTGCAAGGCTGAAAATAAAATTTACCCACAGCTATACCCATCCCACCAGCTACTCAAACGGCGAATCATTACAAGAGCAAACCATAATAAGAACAAACGTCACTCGACAGAATGGCAGATATGGATGAAGATGCGCCCATCAATTCCCTTCACAATCAACCAAATGACGATAACGAAGAAGGTGATGAGACCCAAGATTTCCGACTTCTTGCATCCCTCAGCTCAAAGACAGGCTCACTTCCTAAACGTGGAGAGAAAGATTTCGAACCTCACGGTACACAACAACAAGATGGTGTATTAGCTGCATCGAGGCAGGCAATGCATGATGCATTGGATTATACAAGATTTCATCTGCCAAAAGCGCATGTGAGGGCTTTTTACTACGGAGAGGGAGTGGGAAAGGAATTGGAGAGAGATGAACTAGTGGCAGAGGAATGGAGGAAAGGCTTAGAGCCAGATCATGTTGTGGTAGTGGAAGGACCTAGAGGACCACATTTCAGAACAATTGGCAGAGCAAACGAAGGGAAACACAAAAGCAGTTTGTGGTTATTACCTGAGGAAGCATTGTATTTGGTTGAGCGGGGAAATTTGGATTTGTGGTGGCCGAATAAATCTTCTTATAATGGAGTTGAAGATGGGGAAAGCGAGAAAGCAGGACAATCGGAAAACGAAGATGACGGTGCACCAATGAGTTTACAAGCTGCGTATGCTATGCTTATTGGTCTGGATGGCGAGAGAGGAAAAATCAGTTTGGAAAGATACAATGTCTATGCAAATCTGAAAAGAAATGGATATGTCGTCATGAGAGGTCCAGATTGGGACCCAAACGTTCCCACCAAACCCTTTGAGCAAGGACCCATACCCGGAGAGTCAAAGGGTATGTTCACTTGGCTTTACGATCTTTTCGCCAAAGACATCACACATTCCCCATATGGTCCACTAGTCAAGCCAGGCTTATACAGATCTTACGACTCTATCTATCGCCAAATGGCCATAACACCCCGCTACAAACCTTCTCCACTGCCAGATATGTCATCACAACCTCCATCTCACCCATTCCGTGTTTGTTTCCACATCTGGAAACCCAGTAGTATTCCTACATTCGCGAAAACTAATCCAGGTCTTCCAGATTTCCGCATAGCTATTGTCGACGCGAGAGAAACTTTCGTACCTACGTTACCGGAGGTGGTGTCATTATTCGAAAGCTCACCCTGGGATCCACCAGGAAAAACCATGGAGGGCCCAAATAAAATGTATCATAGAATCAGACATGGATATAGGAATGTTATCTTGGCAGTCAACGATCAGGGAATAATCAGCTACCTGAGGATGGGAGATTGCGCGTTTGGGGAAGAAAAGTTGTACGAAAGGTTTGATGAGGGCAATTCACGAGGCAACAAGAGGGGTGGGAGACGTGGCAGAGGCGGTGGAAGAGGGAGGGGCAGGGGAAGGGGTGGAAAATAATTATTTTAGAGGGAGATAATTTATTCCTCACTAGAATTTGATGTATGATTAATGATGATCCAATGACATGATACTTGACCCCAACAAACAAGTTGCGCAGGCTCCTTTCTACTGCTATCCACAAACTTAGAGATATTTAATTGCATTGTAATAGTAAATATATGAGGATAATATTGTAAAAAGAATAGTATTCGAGTAGGACTACGAGTCGTCTACATTGATAATCTCGCGGCTAATGCAAAAGAGTCCGATTACGTCAATGACGCCATAAACGCGTCGCTAAGGTCAAAACTACGAAACTAATCCAAGTAGTGCCGAAAGTTAAATATTTTTAAGGGTCGCTCGCATATAAGGAGGCGGCTATCTATACAGAAAGATCTACCTGGAAATCTAGCTGTAAAGAAGAAAATGCATCATTTGGAATCGTGATTTGCACTCTGAATCCAAGGCGAACATTTCGTATTTTCACTGGTATTAATTGGGCGTATGCAAACTAGTGATAATGCTATGGGGAGGGTTAAACTCGCAGAAAGAATTGTGGATTTACTACATCAATATTTTTCATCTCATGACAAAACAAAGAAACGCTAGAGATGATTCATGAAGTAATCGACATCCATTTTTATCACGAATCAATAGACCATGAAGACTCAGGTACATCGTTTTCCGATTGACTCCTAGTCCATAGACCATTATTGAAACCCAAGATACGAAAGATATGAAGACATGAAGACATGAAGATATGTCGATACCCATTCTCCGGAGCAATCCGACGCGCATGCACGCATTACTGTGCGTGCCAGGTTAAGCTTTTTTCGCCTCCTTGGTCTGCTTGCCGCTCTCGTTTGGTAGTCCTACCTTCATATTAGTCAAACTCATTAAAATAAAGACTGGATTCCTGGCTCGATATAAACAACGAGATCTCTCACAATTGTAATGGTAATTGGCGCATACAATCACGAGGATTCCTTCAAGAATAGATATGTCATCACTGGTCGAATAGCCTCCTGTATATCTAATTCATGATTAACCTCCCTTCTCGCCTCTTTCTTGAACCAAAATCGCTTCGTGTTTGTTGCAATTTTCCTTCCCACGCTTGACCCCTGGACAAAATATGACTGGGCTATTAGCCATCATTTTTTGAAGCCTACCGATTTGGTGGTGAGGATTCTACGAAACACCCGCTCTCTGATATGGGAGCGAATAGTCAGATGTCTGTGCGCGGTGTCCAGATTTTTCTTAGATGTGAGTGCAGTCTCTCCGACAATATTTGAAAGTGATGATCTTAGATCATGGGCACCCTCTATCTCCTTTTCGGTTAGAAAGCCAAGACCCTCTCGAAGGAGATGCTGAATCATAACCTTTTGTGTTGATTGGATCATTGATTTGATAGGAAATGGAAGTTTCCGTTGAGGTGACAATCGACTTACTGATCAGAGAGGTGTGGCTCGACCTAGAAATTGAAAAATTTAATGCATATTGATAAAAATACTAAAAGGGGTGGAACGGTATTGTGCACAGTCTTCCAAGGTTGAGGGATGTCTTAGCTCCAAAAATCGGTTACCCATCATACAAACGCTCGCTTATCTGAGGCCTTGAAAAGAAGGTGTCTTGCGTTTAGTTGCACAATATAACAGGGTTGACTGCGGTATGTATCCGATGGAATCTCATCATTTATTCTCAAGTTTCTTACCCTGAAAACTGTTAGAAGCATAAGCGTGTACATCAAGTTGATCTGTCGACTTGAAGCCTCATCAATTACACTACTTGGTGCACGGTTATGTATATTACAGAAACTAGGTATATAATATTCGATTACTACATTTCGTTTGCCTGATGGGACTATCCCTCTATAAGCACCATCAGATAGTAGAAATCATGCTATTATACGATTATTCAGTAATTATCTTGTTCTTAGCATGGAATTTTATATCTGTAATAAGTCTTTATTAAGTAATATATACGTTCAACTAGTGTTGAAAAAAGCTCTTAGTCTTACACTTTTCTCCTACATCCATCTATGCTAAAGAGGATCAAACTATGAGAGGAAGCATACTGAGGGGAAGTATATTAAGACTAACTGTACGGAGTACATCAAATCCCGAAGAAGAATATTCTCAAGTGATGGATTTCACAATTAATAAAGATCTGATCAAACGAATCGTCAACTCCAAACGAAGATATAATTCAATTGATGTCCTCAGAGCTCACAGTAACTTGGTCAAATGAAGAATTTTCGGTCACAAAGCAGTGGGTGCAGGGATTTGAAAGGCTCCTATCCTTAGAGTTCGCCCGCATGTATCAATTTTCATTCAACTCGCCTGTGTAACTCAACCCATTTTCGATGGTCAGGGTCTTCTCGGTTTGAATATTTGATTTGACAACTCATTCTGTGGTGATCCAATGGATCAGGACATCCGGGAGCCAAGAAAAAGGTGATTAGCATAAAACATTTTCCCTGGTAGGGGGCATTCTGATGTCAAAAGAAAATCCATACTCGGTAAGATGTATATGTAGGATCATTTTCTTCCAATTTTTCATTGTTGCAACATCGCTAGAATTCATGTTATTTGGCTCGTCGAATCATAGTTTCTCTTGGTAAGTTCTTTTCGAACAATTCCTTCACACTTTTTCTTGAGAGAAAGTCTTGCAGCGACTGATTGCTAGAGTATCAGATTTATCTAGTCTCAAAGTCATCGGTTTATTGGCCAAGAAGCTGCGAAAAGAAAATGGACAACAATGACACAACCTCAATCGAAAATGCTGCTGCTGGCCAATACAGCCGCAAAACACCCAAGGAAAGAGATGTCCTCATCGGCACCTGGTTGGGCTCCGCTGGATTCGGCCCCGTTAGTGACGAGAACGTTGTTGGCGCAAAGATCGACGAGACCGGCATACTCAAATACGTTGTGCATAGTCGAAACACACGAGGTGGCGTTCTAGAGCGCCCTTTTCCCGGTGCACAACAGCATCGTGGTATTTTGATGAGAGAAGCCAGTATCAGATGGTATCATCATCTCAAACCATTGAGTGTTATGGAGAGAAGGGAATATGTGAAAGTCCGAAATAAATATGAATCAGGCTCCACAATCGAGCTTTCAGGCGCAGATGATATGAAAGCAGTTCGAGAAGCTCAGGAGGCTGTTCGCAGACTTGAGTATGCTGCTTACCAAGACGAAAACACGACCGACATGGTTCCAGTCATATTACCCCGGGACACAACTCATCAAGCCTCGAACTCTCTCGAAAGACACTCCACATATAGCTCAAGGCAAGATTCTGTTGATCTTGAGAGACATCAGACAAAGAGAATTAGATTCGAGAAAGAGAAGCATGCAACAACAACACCCATTACTCCAACACAATATCCAACAACCGCAACTCGTAATCTCCCGACTGCACTTGACGTTGCTTTGCTGTCGAAATCAGTTCCTGTCGCTCCCTCCACCCAGGTATCCTCGATTAACATACCAGCGTCATCGAAAAGTCAAACGCAAATTTCCCATAACGCAACTAACTCCACCAATACATCTGACTCACTTGTAGGCCCAGAAGGGGTTTCGCCACTACGAACATCCCAAGTCCACGCCCCACGCCATGATAAGACGATAGTCCACGATGGTGTTGAGTATTCAAAGAGATATAACGGTATGTTTCAGGGGAAGCATGTTTCAGTGCCCAGTATTGTACATATCGATGGAGAAGATTATCTAAAGTACATTGTTTCAACAAAAGCGAGTCCGTTTTAAAAGAGATTCTAGGTGGCGGGGATATGTTGCTTGTGTCACGAATAAATGTTATTTATCCTTTTCACAATCTAAGAGTCTGAAGTTTCTTCAAGGAATGAGAACACTCTGTAAGATTGATCTTCTTATGTAATCTATTCATATTACTTCATGTAATAATAGTCAATTATGCATTATGAAAGCTTTAAGGAGCGAGGATATCAAATTCAAACTATCGTTTGTTAAAATTTCACGACGTAAAATACTGTGACTTATTTTCTTCAGGAATTACTGGGTGTCGAATGGCTGAGCGCCAAGGAAACAAAAACTGATTCTTTAGTAGGTAGGTAGCGAAAGAAAAGCAAGCGATGTCTATTTAATAATGTCTATATAAATAAACTAATAATCATATAAATAAAACTCGATAGAGAACAATATTAGATAAATAATATATTAATAAAATAATCTTTAAAAAAATCTTCTAGTAGTAGAAGAGAATTTTTTGATTAAATATATTATAAGATTATTAAATCTATCAAAAATCTTTTACCTCTAAAAATCTTTGTCTATTATTATTTACAAGCGCATCTCTCGAAATATACTCTTATTCTTCAATCTCATAACCTGTCCGCTCATTAATAATATAAACAAATTTTAGATAAGTAAATCGAAGAATATACAAATATGAGTCAGCTTTCAGAACGATTAGAATCAAAAAATAACACTCTGTCTAAATCTCTCTTCCTTAATAATAATTTCGTTGAGAATTAAGTTATTTATAATCGCAATAGACTAACTAATATGATTATGATTTGAAGGCCTGAAGCATTCAGCCGAAATTAACGCCTGAAACGACTACTTGTAGATACATAATTACTCTTTCAGCGATATTTATGAATGTAAATTAATACGAAGTTTTCGTTCAAGTAGCGTTCTAATTCAAGTTTTACTCTTACTTTAAAAGTAAGCATAGAAAGAGATCCAATCTTAAGATAGTTTCAATACTACGAAGAGAATCCAGATACAGGGTCGAATTAGGGATAGCCTTCGAGATTTGAAAATAAGTCGAAGTAATAAGTATTCTTTTTATCCTGACATAGATTGAAATCTGATATACAGGCAAGCGAGACTAAGCCTGCATCTACCATGATTTCCGCGATTAGCCGATCACACCCTTCAGTCAATCATATTCATGACCAATGAATGATTGACCGATTTGCACGGCCAGGCAATAGGGATTAACAAACGGAAATTGTTTCATCGCATACCTTTTCCACTCTCCTCTTGTTTTCCCTTCTTTTCATCATGTTCTCGACTTTTTCACTTGATCAATTTCCAGAATCATCTGAAGCAATCATACGAAAGCTCATTGATAAGCAACCATAAGGTTCATTTTGGTACTGAAGTCACTCACAAATTTCCCGGTGAGTTCTTTTCCTGGGTACAACTTCATACTAATTCTTCATCGTGTGCTTCATTACCTCTCTTGTGTTCATAAGTATGAACCTTGTGAAAAGCCTCTGAAGATTACTATCATCAACAATCAGTCTGTGTACTATCGCATCAATTCCTAACATTAATCATTAGTTATCTTGTGTATGTGCATACTCTTTTGTTTGAAGGACATTACTGTGTTCAGAATTACACTTTGAGTCTCAGAAAACAGCGTTATTTCGTGTCTGTTTATAAGATCTGAACTGAACGCCGAGAATGTGAAGTTTGGATGGATGCTAATGTCATTAACTCATAGTTCACTGAGATCCTAGACCAATCACAAGATGAACGATCGACCAAAGGAGGAAGGAATCGCAAAGTCGATGGCAATGAATAGTGATACTCACCAAATTATCACGAGTGTCCCGCCTATTATCGATCAACCTAAGCCTCCTCAGCATACTTCCAGGTCCAGTTCCAGTAACATCAAATCTATCGATATTTATTCAGTTTCTGATTCTGATTCTGATTTTGATTCTGATGACGATCTTAAACCAGTTGAAGAGGTAGAGAACAGATCTGCCAGGCAAGGCACGGCTGAGGAAGTGATCACGGTTTCATCTTATCCGAAACGAAATCGTCCACCGGTCAATTATGACGAAGCCGTCTTGAGGATCAAAATGCCTAGCTATAGTTCAAAGCGAACTAAGCTAACGCCCACGCAGTCGGTTCCAAAACTGCGTGGTGTTATTGTTGGTACATGGAAAGACTCAGAGCAACTCGACGATCACGACAAACATATCGTCCATGGATTTATCGATGATGGAGAACGACTTCGGTTTAGGATATACGGAACAAATCGTCAACACACCAAGTCTCTGGCTATTCCTCCAGGAGCTTACGGTTGCTGGGTCAAATTTCAAAATATCGCCTTTGATCCTCATCTAAGTACAAAGACTCCTGAACAAATCAAAGACTACGTCATTCTCAAGTCACAGGAGAACCAAAAACAATCAGATAGGCTTCCGCGAGAATCCCGAGACGTTGACCAAGATGTTTCTACTAAAGTCAATGACATTCAATCATTGCCCAAACCAGAAATCCTCCTTGGATACTGGGCGGACTCAAATCAAGTGGATGCCAAAGACAAACACGCAGTTTTTGGTACTATTGTCGTCAATAGCAACCATAAATTCAGATTCATGATTCGAAAATCTACTCGTGATGGACGTTTTGTGTCGGGCAATTTTCCAGTAGGCGCTGGGAACTATCAGGTCCAATACGAAAAGATCGTGCTCGAGGAGCATTTGTCTAAGCTGAAGCGCTCGGAAGTTGAACAGTATATTCTCATTCGCCAAAGAGAAATACTGGAAGGTGGCAATCGTGATTCACACAGCCAGCAACTCAATGCAGTCAAATTAGCCAAGGCTGCTGTAGCATTACAACATCCGTCAGATCCGAATCTCTCTGGCCACAATGTCTCCAACCCTGATCCCGAGATTGAACAATCTCTCCAACGCAAAGAAACATCGAGAGGAAAGATAGCAGATAGAAAGCAGCCGCCGCATCTGCAAGGAGCAAATGATAATTCTGCCAACGACACTCTGGGAGACCAATCTGCTCCCCATAGGAAACTGTCGGCTGAGCGACAACTTGCAAAGTCGATGAACAAATTGAACAAAGCATGGGAAGCTCAACAGGAAGCGAAGACTCAGCAGCCAGTCACCTCTCCACGTCCAGAGGCTACTGCAAGTGGCAGTTCTCTCACCAATGATAATATCAAGATGTACGGAGGCATCAAATACACAAGAAGACAGAATGGTATATTCGAGGGGAAACATGTTGGACCCCCGCAGCTTTTGAACATAGATGGAGTAGACTACGTCGAGTATCGGGTGCTGACAAAAGCGTTTTGAAGCAAAGTTAGTAACCAAAAACCGCTCCTCTATACATGATGAGGGGCTGACGGATCTCGAAGTTGTCATTTCTTACATACTCTAGATTACCGCTTTCCTTAAAGTTGTCTTTGTTCAATTGAATTTTCTTTCCGTGTATGATCCCTTCAATTAATATGACTTCAAAAAAATATCTCCTTCTTGTACTAGCGAGTTTCTATCTTCAAATATCTTTGGGTGCGAAAGGGGCTCTTCAATCGTTTGAATTTGTTGAAAAATTAGTATCGAAGTATTGGTATCAGGATCAGAATAACCAAAAATCAATTTTATTAAACTCAACACTCGAAATAATACATTGATTTGAATAAGAATTTGTTGATTTCAGATAGATACTCTAAGGTTCCTTCCTATTTTCCATCTTATATCATCGATTCCTCGCGCGCCTTCCTCTTTTATCGAAATTCACTCAATTCTGTTCAAAGCTTCTTTCTTGAGTTCTTACTATATTAATTTTGAAACCGTAATAATCTTTACTCGTATCAATACATCGGAGAATAATTACTATAGAAGATATCGTTTTTTACACATAAGAAAGTAAGTTCATCTGACCTCTATATATTATTCAACAAACACTATACAATATCGAATCATTCAACAAGCGTATGAACTTGATCAAACCGTACGAGAGTGAATATGACAATGCCAGTATATGCTATCATACAAAACTTAGCTCAATGACCGTACTGCCGTCCGATAATTCTAATAGAGATTGACTTGATTCGGTCATCCTTCTTATATACTTAAGAATACATTAAGCTATTCATTAGTTCAAAAAACTTAATGAGTTCTTACTCTATTCTATATCTGATATTAACAACTTCAATTTGCAATCAGATTTTCACTATCAATTCATCCGATATTGAACAAACATTCTTCAAGTTTATCAAATACCAGCAAATATGGATAGTGTAAGTTCATCTTCTTTATCCTTGAACAAGTATTGAAACTGACAGTTTTGAAGGATGCTGTTGTGGCCGAACGAAATGGCGTCCTCGAGTTCCGAACTGCCACGAACGATGGAAGCCCAGAGAACTTTGTCCTTCTCACAAAATTTCAACAAGTAGTTCGAAAGGGATTGTTAGAAATGAACGCAGACTATATCGCGAAAACAGTTCTTGACGCAAACAACAAAACTCTGGTCATGATACAAAAGTCGCAAAAGCCAATCAATGCAAAATCGAAAGGGGGCATTGGTCAAACTTTTGAACAATTGGAGACTGTCATTGGTGGGGTTTGTTACCGTGTTTTTGAAAACCGCGGATTTGTTGAGATGATTTACGTCGTGGTTAGTGCGAACAAACAGGGAGGAGGGTATGGGGCGCACATGATGAATCATTTCAAAGACGAGATCAAATACTCTTATAAGGAAACAGTGATGGAAATTCTCGGATATGCTGACCTCACTGCCGTCGGTTTCTTTCAGAGGCAAGGCTTTACGAAAGACATTGAGCTGGAAGAACGCAAATGGGGTGGCGTCATAAAGGACTATATCGCATCGGATCTTATGCAATGCACCTTGCTCCCAAGAATGCGCTATGTCGAAGCACCTCGAATGATTCGTAAGCAGAAGGAATTTTTGCTCGCCACGATGGCTGCCGACAACCAAAGCAAGGTTCAACGTCACCCTCCCGCGCAATGGGCTCGAGGAATTATTGGCCCAATCGACCCTTACTCTATTCCCGGCATTCGACACTCTGGCTGGTCACCAGAAATGGATGAACTATCTCGTGAGAAAGAATTGACGCCCCCCACCGATCCACTCCAGGACTTCTTAAATCATTTGAAGGAGGGGAAGCATGCTTGGCCTTTCCTCCAACCTGTTGATCCGAAGCAAGTCGAAGACTATTATACGGTCATCAAGCATCCGATGGATTTGCAGACCATGCAGCAAAAGCTGGATCAGGGTCTGTATGATACACCAAAAGCTTTCGTGGAAGATGTCAAGTTGATCATCAAAAACTGCAGACAGTACAATAAGCCAAACACCACCTTTTGTAAGAATGTGGCTAAGCTAGAGAGAGACATGAAGGATTTCATAAGGTCTGTGCCAGAATGGAAAAAATTTATTAACATACTTAGATAAGTTGAACTGAATTCATCTTCCTTTATCGAGCGACTGCTTTTCATACACTGGCAGGAATCGAAAGATATCAGTTGATGGAAATTTCTTTGAACACCTCCCAAGTCTCCAAAAGGTGTTAGAGCATCTGCGTCAATAGCGGAACATCAAGTCAATTAAAGGGTAATCGAGTCAGCGTTGGTATCGCGAGGAATTGGCCATCTCTTTTCCATGGTAAAGACATACAGTAGCAAGTTCTCAGAGCGAATGCAGAAATCCAATGGTCTTCCAAAACAATACAGTGATAAGATTGTCGTTCATCTTGGAAGTGAAGAAGCTGGTATCAGAGGTCGAGTCCTTGGAATTCATATTTCCAGATGTGTTTACTTTGTTTTTTCGGCTTCCTCAATCCCCTCAGTCTTTGCAAATATAATCCAATTCTTCAACCCTCTCATTGTTGCCGTGAATATTCTAGTCTGCTTCATTGCATCTCGAGGTTCCATCTCTTGATTCTTACAGGAATCAAGAGCGAAAAACGCAATCTTCTCTTCAAGTGTATCAGTGACTCCAAAAAGATATGTAGATCCAAAAACAGGCATTTGATCCTCTTACAAGTGCTTGCTTCCCTTTCGACAAGATTCCCAACCTTAACATGTAGTGTGTCCTCTTGGGCTTGTAGAAAACTACGATGCTATGTTGCAGATTTTCTACTCGTGGTGGAACTCAAAGGCGGAGCAAGAAATGAATGAATAGTCTGCGCTGATCATACGCTGTTGTCCCTCCACAGATTCTGGAATCTAAGATGAGATTAAGGGCCACCTGGGCACTGCAGGTGAGCAATTAGCGGCAAGCCACCTTTGACAGCCACCACCCCTTGCTGCTTTAATCATGGGACGACGCGTCAAATAGCTACCTAGCTGGAGGTACTTATTGAACAGTGAAAGGATCGCATACACATACTAGGTAATAATTTTATTGTACTCTGAATATCCCCTAAAACTCCCAATGACTTCTTATTAAAAACCCAGGAGATTGCGCCGATTATTATTTAGAATCCCCTCTCCAAGCTCGCCACAACTCCAAGTCCAGCTTTAGTTACAAGCTTGATACCGCTACTCTGCAAAAGAACATACAACTACTGAATCCTCACTGCTTACTTACAATCGTTCGTTCACGAGGTCTGGGATGGCAGCACCACATCGGCATCCTCATCAGCCCTGTCGTCGTGATCCTTTGGTCTGTTCCAAGTGCGAATATGTCCTAGTCCATTATTAGCTCAATGATACTGCAAAGCTCGGCCATCCAAAGATAAGCGAGTGAAGAATAGACATACCAATCTTATCGCTGGTAATAATATGCTCCTCTGTAAATGCCAAAGAACACAGTGGATCATCAGCAACAATTTTCGTGCACACGGCGGGTAAAATAGATATCTTTGCTCTTGGTTCTACTGGATGATCTATTGTGGTCTCCGATCTTCCCTCGGCATAGGAAAGGTTTGAGTTTGAGCGAAATCGACCAGCAGTCGCTGTTGTGCCCTGAGTTTCAACCCTTGAAAGGGAGCTTGGCATTCGGGAAGATATACTGCCTCTTTGACGAACAGACGCCTGATTTTTGCGTTAGTTGACATGTGCTACATGAAAGTATCGAAGAGTGAGGGCTTACGGCTTTAGGACGATGCAACATTCCAACACTAAAATCCCATAACAAGAGTTTGCCATCTTCGCCCACACTACCAAAACGATAATTTCGGTCGTCGCAACGCCATGGATCAAAGGCTACGTCTGTTACCCAGGATGTATGACCAGTGCAGCGAGCTATAATGGCAGAATCTGCCATTGACCATATAGAGACGAGATCGTCCTGACCACCAGAAAGAACATATTTGCCATCAGGTGACCAGCAAACACAAGTCAAGCCACCAAAATAGCTGTTATAAATATCGAGTAATCTAGGCGGATTAGTATTAAAAGTGCGATGAAATGGGATTTGCTTACTGCTCTTTCAAATAGTCAATAATTCGTAAGGTTCCATTTTCCGATACGACAGCCAAATGCCTGTTGTCAGGCGAGAAAGCGAAACTATTGATGGGCTGGTTGGAAAGTTTCCAAAATGAGACTGGATTGAACTTCTGATTTTTCGAATGCACTGATTTATCGATCTGAAGTTTGGCTTTTGGCATGGAAGTTGGATCCAGATTCTCTTCACTTGGTACACTGCCATTGCCATTGGGTCCGACCTCTTCTGGTACGAAAGCTGCGTCATCTTTCTCCTTGTCGTAAGCAATTAAAGACCCGTCCATATGAGATGCTAGAAATAGATTCTCGGAACCAGGAATCCACCTGATTTGTGTGACGGGCGTTGAATTTATAACACACTGACGTTGTTAGAATTTCGTATAGACTTTATTAGAAAATATTGCTTACGTTCTTATTCAACCGTGAATATTTCTGGGTGAAAGGCTCAAACCAAATAATTTCGCCAGTGGAAAACCCCATTATAATATCTATATGATTTGGACTTTTGGTGACCTGATTGACATCATGACAGAGACAATGGGCTTTAGTGAACAAAATTTTAAGTAATTGATCTTGCTGTTGTAATGATAAGCATTGAATAGTCCAAGATATCGAATGATCGCGACAGAACTTACTTTATTTGGGGAAGACAAATCAAGCCACTGAAAAGCTCTATTTATGTTGGCGAATCCAAAGTACCCATCGATTGGGCGATCTTGTAGCCTCTTGACCAAATTTTCGTTGACAATACATCGTGAAATAAATGAAGAATTACTCTTCAAAATGCCACTCTTTGGTTTGCGACGTTTTCCAGTATCTTTAGTCGTCAACGATAACAATGAGTTCCCCTCCCCAAACGCCGGTGCGGACCCTATGGATGTCGC